GAGACACGTAATTTCACCTTTGTCAGTACTGGTGCCCATATCACCCTTGCACATGAGTCCAGTTTATTTTATGATTTTGAAAATGACTGGGGAGAACTGACCTTGGCCAACGTACTGGTTCCTATCAGATTCCTATCCCAGTAGGTACTGCTTGTTGCATATGTTTTTCCAATAAGGACACCAGACACTGCTGGGATTTCATTTCAGTTTGCCACATATTTCTGGTATTAGCATGTCAGGACAGCACTGAAGGTTTTGCAAGGTAAGCCTGGATATTTTTTTCTCCTCCTGCCCTAAGACTTACCTTTGACTACAGAGAGTGCACGTGATCCAAATAGCTGGATTTATTTTGGCTTTTTTACTACTCTGTGTTTGAATTCATACAGGAGAGGCATAGAAATGATAGAGTTCTGTTACACGCAGGCTGCATTCTCCTGAGGTTGTTGAACCCAGAATATCTGGACATGAAGGGAAGGTGGGTACGTTCTCTAGATGTTATGTTAGCTACCAAAGAGATGTCAGTATTTCCCTTTCACGAGCCCGGAATGGCAAGGGTCAAAGTCACAAGTTTTACATCAAAGCAATTTCAGTGTCCTGAACTTCCTGATAAACAAACATTCTCCAAGAATGTTGGTGACCTTTTGGTTGCTGCACGTATGGAAGTAGTTTGAGAAGGTTCCCCAAGAACACAAGAGAAATGTTTGCAGTGCTCTGTGCACAGTTCTGCTGTAAATGCTGAAGTTCTGAGCATGATGAAAGAAGTTTTCTACCACAAGCAACAGTGTAATGGATATTTGGTACTTCCTATGGACAGTTTCTATGGCAAGTTTATCTTAGCTGCTATACAGCTGCACAGTTTTAGAGGAACCCGTTCCTTTTCATCCATTCTTTCATTTCTTTGCAAAGAGCTTCAGTTTCTGCATCTGTTAGTTCGGTGAAGCACAGCACGTCAAAAAGCTGAGTCCCAAGAAGAGAGAAGAGGCTATTTGAAAACTGAGGTGTTAGTGGTCAAAGCTACATCACAGTGAAGTCCTTACGCTGTTTCCTGTGATGAGAGTGGTTTGGGTGCATGTGAAGCCAGCACATAGTGTCAGTTTGATTTCCTGTTCTGAGCGTCTGGAGTGGACTTTAGTTCCACTACCAGCGCAGAGCCTTTCCATGTCCTCAGAGTACCAAGTGTCTCAGAGACATGAAGACAGGGAACTGGAGACAAAATTAAATGCTCCATTAAAATAGAAAACAAAGCACAACTGAAACACTATGATAGCTTTGACTCTGTGGGTCTTAGGAAATATATGAATGTCACCTTCCTGCCTAACTCAACTCATATTTTTCAGTATTAGAATTAAAGTAGTTTATATTTACATCAATCTCAGGCAGTGTAAGTGTAGGTAATTATAATTCAAAAGACAGGGAAGAGTCAGTTCTAATAGTTAGAAAATAAAAAAGCAGTGTTTCCATTAACACGATCATCATTTAGTTATTGTTAGATTCCAGCAATGTACATTAATTAAAAGGACAGGTTGTTCAGCCCTTATACTTAAAAATAAACACCTAATCTAAAATGCATGTGATGTCCTTTTCTGAATCAGTTTCCTATTGCCTGGATTTATTTCTCAGAAAACATCAGATGAACAAAATATTATGCACAGAGACTTGGGCCAAATTTTTTCCTTAGTCCTACATACTAATGACAATGAAGTTACACTGTATGATGACATGATGCATGTATGAATATTGTGTACATACACAACACTGTATTGGGACACCATAAATATAATCATGGAAAAACTTATACAGGATTCCCTTTTAAAACACAAAAAATTGATAGTATAATTAATATTAATTAACATGGCTTTTATGAA